GCCAAAAGCCGCTGAGCAGCAAATATCTGCAGACAGGTGCTGGCAAGATGGTTCCCCAGTATCTCTGTTTCCTGGATGCAGGAGTCTTTCCCAGGGTGCCCCACTTCAGAGCCAGAAATACCTCCCTGGGCCTTCTGGCAACCAATCCTAAGCAAGCATTAGCTCTGAAAACTCTGAAGTGCTGACACTAAGGATAATTGATCTTGCTGAGTGTAGCTCACTTTCACTTAGAAAGTTATATTTAGTTATAGCATTTGGAGAAGCAAAGAGAAGGAAGTTTTTATGGAGGTATTAACTGAAAATGTAATTAAAATCTCCCCCTTCTCAGGGGGATGGAAAAGGTTAGTTAAATATGTTGTGACCAGTATTATGAAACATTGAAATTGCTAAATATAAAATCTTTCCTGTGTTCAAAAGACTTCCCAATTTTATTTTCAGTTTAAATTATTCATTTCAAATTAAGGTCCATTTCAGTGCAAGGAAAAAAGCAGACATTCAGTTTGAAGGGAAAAAAAATCAAAAGGAGTGATCAAGGACTGTTTTTAGTGAGAAAAATAATGTGCCAGGAGGGAAATCACTCCTGTACAGTGAATTAAAAGTAAAATCTAATCTCCCACTTAAACCTTACTTGATTGGAATGAAGTGGTGCATAAACGTTGTGCTGCTTCTCTGCACACGTAGTTCAACCTGTAAATGAAGTTGAAAGATAAAACAGCAGAATGTGCTGGTCACAACCAAACCTTTTAAGATACTTCTATAAGAGCGCATCCTCTTTAGTCAAGCTTCTGCCTTAAAACAATATAGAGAAAAATTCCCAAAATGCTTTGTCTAATTCCCTTTTCCTTTATTAATTAACTATTAAGCATCCTTTTTTATCTATCACTTTATACTGAAGCCTGGTCTTAAGGGAATATATAAGTATGAGAGCATTATTCAGAACCCTTATGATAATACTATAAGAAATGGCACTGAATTGGAAGAATGTTAGTATGAATAGGACAGACATTACATCCAATACAAATAAATAGTATATGTGGAGAGAGATGAAGGGTTAGCGCAGACTGCTTCTAGAGTGATTAATTTATAATGCTGCAGCATTCGACAATTTACTTTGAAAAAGTGGAAAAAGTAACACCAAGTAATGGTGCAACTGAGGATCAATCCAAACTTGGGATATTACTTGAAAACGTTATCTTCTCCAGAGAAGAGCCCATTCCACCGTTGACAGATAATGCCAACACAGAACCCAATGGCATGTCCTTTAAAGTTCAATAAAATTAAAGGGATGGAACCTATTTTCAGAGACACAAGCATACATCATTAGGCACTATGGGCACATCTACATGAGACACTTTACTGCGCAACAGAGCTAATTACTGCCTAGTAAGTGTCACTGTCTACACGTGCTGACCCTTACTGCACAGCAATTTGCTCTAATCGCTAGTAAATTTACTACCTGTAGATACAAGTAGCAAATTTACTCATGAGTAATTACTGCACAGTACGACACATGTAAAAAGCCAACTGGGAGCAAGCTCCTGGACAGCTGGGTAGCAGGATGTGGGAGATTGCTCTCTGTCCCCAGGAGCTGCCTGTTGCCATGGCTGGCTCTGTCCCTGCCCAGGCTCCAGTGGCAATCTCCCCAGCCCATGATCTGTGATTCTGGAGAATTAGGAGCTCCCTACACAGAGAGAGTTCCCCACCCAGCCTGGAGCTGGCTGGGACTTGCCCCTGACCAGGACAGTTCTGGCCCAGCTCTGGGCTGAACAGGGAAGTCTGCACATGCAGCCTGGAGGTGGCTGGGCACTTTCCCATTTCGGGCAGTCCCCAGCAAACTCTAGGCTGCACATCCAGACTTCCCCATTCAGCCTGGAGCTGGCTGGGTGCTGTCCTGGTCAGGAGCAGGTCCCAGCCCTGTGCCCTGATCGGGTAGTAGAAACATCTGCAAGGGAGGTGCAGGTCCCAACCCCCTGTACCATCTGCCAGTGGAGCAGCTAGTAGCAAGTCCCTGATTGGGTGTGAAATCCCCATGCAGCCAAGGGCTCACAGCTAGCTGCCCCACTGGTGGATTGGGGCAAAGGCCTGGGCCCTGCCTCCCCTCTGCAGCTTTTTCTAAGCTCCCCACCCCCAATTGGGGAACTAGAGGCAGGAGCTCCCTGCTGCCAGGGCAGGGTGACATGATTATCTCCACCTGGGCTCCAGTGGCGGAGCCCGCCTCAACAGCCAGCAGCTCCCAGGGCCAGGGAGCAAGCTCCCAGCCCCTGCTAAGAGAAAGCTGTCTCTTGGCCTTGTACTCCCTGCCAACCTCTGGGCTAGCGCTGAGGGGGAATGTAGAGATCCCTTTGGCTGGTGCAGGAGGGTGTTGCAGAGTTGGAGGGGGCAGGAGCAAGACTGCTGCCAGGAGCAGCAAATCTCCTGTATTCCCACCTGTGTAGACACCTGCCTGGGGTGGGTTTACTGTACAGTAAATTACTCTAGAGTAAATCCACCCTGCAGCATTTGCACATGTAGACATGCCCTGTGTCAAGATATTTGGACACATGAAACATATTCAAGTGATGGCTTCAACTTATTTAACAGGATGCATACCATTGTGCATCTAAGAATTACCCTTAAGAGTGGAACAAAGTCTAAGCTTTGAGTAAGTTATTATATAGATTTAATAGATTTTAGACATTAGGGTTGGAAGGGACCTCGGAAGATCATCGAGTCCAGCCCCCCACCCGAAGGGCAGGAAGTCAGCTGGGGTCATAGGATCCCAGAAAGATGAGCAAATTGGATGCTTTTGAAGGTGTTCAATGCAGGTGCTTGAACCACTGCCGAGGGCAGGCTACTCCAGACCTGTAAAGAAATTCTTCCTTATGTCCAGCCTGAAACGGTCTTGCAGGAGTTTATAACCATTCAACCTCATCATCCCTTGGGGCGCTCTGGTGAACAAATATTCCCCCAGATCCTGGTGGTCACCCCTGATAAACTTATAGGTGGCCATCAGATCACCCCTGAGCCTATGCTTTTCCAGGCTAAAGAGCCCAATGGCTCTCAGTCTGTTGTCGTAAGGTCTGTTTTCCTGACCTCTCATCATGGACTCTCTCAAGCTTCTCCACATCCTTTCTGAATTATGGAGCCTAAAACTGGAGGCAGTACTCCAGCTGCGGCCTCACCAAGGCCGAGTACAAGGGGAGAATGATGCCCTGGAATTTACTTGAGAAGCATCTATGGATGCAAGCCAGAGTTTTGGTCACTTTACTAGCCGCAGCATCCCATTGCAGGCTCATGTTCATCTTGTGGTCAATGATGACCCCCAAGTCTCTTTCTTCCGTAGTGCTAGCCAGTGTAGCACTGCTGAGCCTATAAGGATGCTGCAGGTTTTTCTTCCCAAGGTGGAGAACCTTGCATTTTTCGGTGTTAAACACCATCAGGTTCTCGTCCGCCCATTTGCTGAGCCTGTCCAGGTCAGCCTGGATCACCCGCCTGTCTTCTGGTGTGGATGCTTTGCCCCAAAGTTTGGTGTCATCGGCAAACTTGGCCAGTCCACTCCTGACTCCAATGTCCACATCATTAATGAAGATGTTGAACAATATGGGTCCAAGGACAGAGCCTTGGGGGACCCCACTGGTCACAGGACACCATGATGAGTGACTGCCATCAATTACTAGCCTCTGGGTCTGATCACGGAGCCAATTTCCCAGCCAGTGGATCGTGGTGGACCCAAGGCCACAACTGGCCAGTTTCACCAAGAGGTGATCATGGGATACCAGATCAAAGGCTTTTTTGGAGTCAAGATATATGACCTCAATCTCTTCTCCCTTGTCCAGGTGATAGGTCACCTGGTCGTAAAAGGAAATGAGATTGGTCAAGCAAGACCCACCTGCAACAAACCCCTGCTGGCTATCCTCAGGATGTTAGCATCGGCCAGTCCATTAAGGATGGCCTCTTTAATAAACTTTTCTAAGACCTTCCCCGAGATAGAGGTCAGGCTGATATAGTTTGCAGGATCTACTTTCCTCCCTTTCTTGAAGATAGGCACCACATTGGCCTTCTTCTAGTCTTCGGGCACTACACCAGAGCGCCAGGAGTCCTCAAAGATCTGTGCCAGGGGCTGGGCTATGATGCTCGCCAGCTCCTTGAGTACCCTGGGGTGTAGATTGTCAGGGCCAGCTGACTTGAAGGTATATATTTTGAATCACATTAACTTATTGTCCAATCACAAAATAAAACACAAATATGAAGTCTGCCATTCTTGACTGTACAAAATCCATTACTATTCTGAAGCAATTAAGAAAATCTGCTTATTTAATTACCAATTTAGCAGTTCATGTATGACGTGAAATCATGCAAGAAGAGACTGTAGGTGGTTTCTTATCCTTTATTTCAATTTGAACCTTGGAAAAAGTTCACCTTATCCAAGATTCTTTAAACACTGTTTTAGCCCATTACCTAAAGAAACTTTACAATAAAAACCTTGGGCAATGTCTATGATATAAGATACCTGCTGAAATTCTCCACCTCAGCTCAAGTCCAATAGCCATGCAAAATATATCATCATCTTACTATGGGAAAAGATAGAAGAATGTCTGAATGTATCATAATCTTCGAAATACTTATCCTCACAGCAACCCTGTTTTATTTTACTGGCATTTAGTAAAATACATTAGGTCTTTGGAGCAGGGGTCACAAGCCCTGTTTCCCAATCCCAGGTAAGTACTAGTTATATTCCTATTCCCTTTCCCAATAAATGCACAATTTTTTCAAAAGTAGAAGTTTCAAACAAGAGGGTGGGAGGGAATAAATAACCTATGGCCTGGTGGTTAGGGAGATAGGGGCGTAAACCCTCTCCTCAGGGAAATGAGGGAATACAACTGATATGGCTTGCCTGGCCTTCATTCTGTGGCAGTCTTATTCCAGGATCTAAAGCAGCGGTGTCAAACTCCTGTCTCCCTGGGCTGGATTAGGACCATGAGGCTCATCAAAAGCTGGATCTAGACCACGAGGAGCTCCTCCTCACATACTCCTGAACTGTAGGGATTAATATACCTTCCACTTGCCTCTCATATGCATCCCCAGTGGGGCTCGGTATGCTGGAATTTGGTGGCAAGCACCACCCCCTGCTTGCTGTGCCCCCAAATTCCTGACCCCTACATGCCCTATCTTTGACACCATTGCTCTAAAGCCCCTGAGCTCTATAACTATTTGTTGTCATGGCAGTATTTTCCATATTGCATTTACTCTCCTGCATTCTAAGAAACTACTATAGCTCTATGGCTATTGTATATATACCTCCATGATTACCATCACCATCTCCTCCTCTTTCTCCTATCCATTTTAAAAAGTAGTCCTCGCCTTCATTTTTAATGGATGTGGCTTAGCCACTTACCTCCAAAAGCAGGTTGAGGGCCATGAATCTTAAAAGCATGGAAACACATTCATCAGTCCAGAGTTTGGTGCCTAAGACCCACCTCCCCACAGAAAGAAAAACTGTACTATGTGAGACACTTTTAACTGCTTGAGACAGCTCCTCACTGAGGTACTAATTGTTCTCATACATTATAGAGGGAGCTGGGGCCTTTAACACAGGTGTAGGGATTCCATTAAAGAGGCCAGGAGAGCTGAAGGTTAGGTATAAGAATACTCACCATCGTGATGCTGAAGTCTCTGTAAATTTGCCTATGGTCACACAGGGAGTCTGCAGCAGGTTAGGGATTTAAACGCAGGCCATCTAAAGTCCAGATCCTGCAGACTTATGCCTATGCCTGTGCACAGTCTCAGTGACTCTAAGCATGTCCCTTCTGTATTTGAAAGCTCAGTGCTGAAATCAGACACTCAAACAGACACAAACTTTCTTAAAATTACTCCTACAAATTCTCTGAGAACCCCCGCCATTCCATCCTTGTAGATGCCCCATACAAAATGCTCATATTAAGGTATCCTTATAAAAGAACGTAACAATTTTTGGCATATATAAGAATTTATGTTTCATTGCTGTCTAACCATTTGACAAAAGAAAAAACCAACTTGTTCTCTCTGCAAGAGGGAGAATGTTGTTTTGGTGTTATGTGTATGTACACGTAAGGAATTAAAGTAATTAATTAAACATTTTTGAAAGATCTAAAATGACAAAAGCATGGGAATACCTTCAGCAGTCCAGAGTTTGGTGCCTAAGCACTCCCTCCCCCCTCCCCCCAAAAAAACTGTACTATGCCAGAAACTTGACTACTTGAGACAGCTCCTCACTCAAGTGTGTTAGATGCTGCGAATCCTCACTGAAGTACTAATGTTAATTAAATTGTTAATTTTGCCACCTCAGATCACGATAGAAAGAGAATGAAGTTCAGTATAGTGGCCCTGCTTTAAACTATCTAACCATTTCTTGAAACATGAGCATATAGGGTCATGACTCAGCAAGGTAATAAAGCATGTGGAAAGTTCAGTTAATGCATTATCTTATTTTACTGAATCAGTCATCATGATAAAACTACTGCAGTTTTACCATTTATGAGTTAGAGACACGTTATCAAGGTCAGTTGTTTATTACAAAACGTAGCCGGCTTTCTTGTGCCTCTTGGCAAAGTCCTCTGCAGAACCATATGCAGGTGATTTCTAAAAAAGGGAATGCTTCAATAATAAACTCTGAATAAGTGCCATCAACAAACCATTTATAATAAATCCTATACCAGCACCAAGCTGATAAGGAAATCATAGCTTTAAACTATGTAAATTTTTAACACAAAAAGTCAATAACAATAATAGAGTGCCCTTATATGTCAATAACATATAAGGAGTGGCCTTTTGGCTGAAAAATATAAAATGAGATGACCAAGCCACCAATGGCAGACTCCCAAATTTCCACAACTATAATTTTTATATGTAACTTCTATATAGAAAAGTTATATGAACAGTAATTATCAGTCTTACAGGATCTTTCATTACACCCACACTCTTCCTGTATTCAAGTTAACAGGGGGTTTTTTTAGCATGACAAAGGGTTGAATTTGAACCACAGATAAATGATAGGAAATAGATCTGCACTTTGTTTCCATTTATACATTCATTGAGGTATGTATTTATTATCAAGACATTTTCAAAGGCAAAAAAGAGAAATCTATTTATAAATCAACCTTAAATTAATATACTAAAAAGAGCCAGAATCATGCCAGCATATATACAAACACATGCATAACAAGTTTTCCCCACTATTTACATTCATGTAATCAAAGTCATATATGAAAGATCTGTTCGTCTGGCGGTTATACTTCTTCATTAAAAACAACTGTACTATACAGTTTTTCTCAAGGCAGTGTTCCAACAGTTCCTATTAATAACACGTTTAGCCCTGGATTCAGTAAAGCACTTGAACACTCGCCTGAAATCAATACATCTACTCCTATGTTTAAAATTAAGAATATGCTTAAGGGCTTTTGTTAGAGCGGAGCCAGCAGGTGAAAAGTATTAACTCCCAATGGTATTCTGTAGAAACCAAGACTAATTCGTATCTTGGATGGGGACACAAAACAATGAAATAGGCACACTCTATATAAAGCATTATTTTTCAAACTCATAGGTTCAATGTAAGTGTATAAAACATAAGTTGTGCCTTCACCTCTCTGATATGCATGAATGCTACATAAGATTCCAGTGAGTTCAGGTGTGGACATCAAAAACACCTACATTATAGGTCTGTGCAACGCTTCGGTTGCTGATTCAATTCAGAGGAGATTTGGCCCAATTTGGTGGCTGAATCGCCAAATCTGAATCGAATCAGGACACCCATTACTCTCTCCAAATCAAATCAGAAGCGTCTGATTCAATTCGGAAAGATTTGATGATCCGGCCATAGACACAGCCGTATATGTTTTTGCTACATACCTCAAAGTACCAGGCACGGCTCACAAATGCTGAGATGGTGGGGCAGATGGAGGAAAGATTCCCCACACGCTCAGCAGCAGACCCAGAAGTAGACCAGAACTACTTCTGGTCCACTTCCAGGTCTGCTATGGAGCACACGATGGACTCCCCTGCCCCCAGGCTCAGCGACTGGTGCCTCCTGGGTCTAGGGGGGCACTTAAGAGTCCCCTGGCAGCTAATCACCGAGCCAGAGGAGGGTGCAGGGGGATCCCCTGCATGCTTGGTGGTGGACCCAGAAGTGGACCAGAAGTACTTCCAGTCCACTTCCATGTCTGCTACCAAGCGCATGGGGAACACCCCCACACTCCCGTGGGATGCTCCATCCAGCCCACCACCTCAGCGTTCACCAGCCATGCCTGTCTTCAATTATAAAACCCAACAGTTAAAGAATCACTGCTCCCCTATATTTGGATAGTAAAAAGAATATAAGAACTTTTTCTTGCAGAATAAATGACAAGTTGGCTAAAAAAATCCCAGACCTGATTTTCCATTGCCTTACATTTTGTACAATACTCTTTCCAATGAGCTGAAAGGGCTTTTAAAATAATTATTCACTTATTCTTAAGCACTTAACCAGTACAGGAACCCAATTTCAACAAGGTAACTCCAATGAAATGTTAAGCAAAAAGGCAGATCATTGTTAGGAATAAAGCTTGGGGAGAGGGTGACAGGGAGACTTCATTGTTTTTTTATTAGTTCCTCATTTTCTTTCCTGCTGAATTCACTTCTCTCTGTTAGCAGAAGTATGTGTTCTGCAAATTCACGAATGGCACCCCGACCACCACTGCATTTACAGATAAAGCCAACAGCATGTTGTGCAGCTGTGCAAGCATCCGCTGGAGCACCACTTGTGCCAGCTTTCTTTAAGCACTCCACATCGGACTCTTCATTTCCTACCAGAGGGAGAGGAGACACATGTGAAAATGCACAATGAACTAAGAGTAACTGAGACAAACAAGCATTTTCCCTGGAATCGAAGGAACTGAATCATGGGGTTGTGGTCTGGGCTGTTGCATGAAGCCCATGCCATATGCAGCGCCAGGTCCAGGTGTGAGCAGTACATACCCTATGCTGGCCTTAGTAACTGTATGCACAGCAAGTTATGGGTCAATGCATGGTGAATGAAGCACTGGACCTGCTGCATATTCTGTATGTGGCACAGGGAGCTAGTACAGAGTGCATGCTTTATGAAGGTCCCAGGGCCTGCATGTACAGTGAGTCCTGGAAGCTGGCACATGCTGCACATGTACTGGACCTGGTGTTGCAGTGCTTGGCAGAGGGTTGCTCCTGGTCAAGTGTGGGGCCAGATGAGTTTGATACCCCTGCACTAAGCAATTTTTATTGACCTAGGATTCAGCAGTCCATCCCTGGTAAGCAAAGGATTTAAGCACTTGTTTAAGCTTTGACATCAACTGGACCTAAGCACATACTTAAAATGGTTTCACAAATCTGTGCTGTGATTTGCATTTTAATCCCACTGAATGTTTCTTGTTAAGCATGGAGCAAATGCTCTGAAGATGAACAATGCAAAGTATCATTATCCTGTTAAATTTGTGCATGCCACATACTGTTTCATTATAATGAAAACAAAAGAAAATAATCAACTTCCAATGGTATTCTGTAGAAATCAAGGGCAATTAGTATCTTGGATGGGGCCCCAAAACAATGAAATAGGCATACTCTATATAAAGCATTATTTTTCAATCTCATGGGCTCATGTAAATGTGCAAAACATAAGTTGTGCCTTCACCCATTTGATATGCACAAGTGCTACATAAGATTCCAGTGAGTTATGGACATAAAAACACCCATGTCATGGGGCTGTGCAAAGCTTCGGTCACTGATTCGATTCAGAGGAGATTCAGCTTGATTTGGTGGCTGAATCTCTAAATCCGAATCAAATCAGGAGACACATTAATCTCTCCAAATCGCATTAGAAGCCTCCAATTCTATTCGGAGGGTTTCGACAATTTAGCCATAGACACGGCTGTATATGTTTTTCCTGAATGAAAGCAAAACAAAAGAAAATAACCTAAATAAGCTACTTCTTTCCAGCACAAACGCTTTTTTTTCCTCCAGTCTTCAACAACTTGTAGTTTATTCTTCACACTGACTTCCACATCACAGTTCAACTTCATAGCTGAAAGTGTTTTTGAACAGTTCCTTTCAGAGATCAGCAGTACCTATTAAACCAAGTTAAAATAAACTGCATAAAGAAACAGACAAAATGAGTTACCAAAACAAACAAACAAACAAACACACAATCACAACTGAAATTGTTTCTAGGAAATCTCGCAAGTACCAGTAACAGTACGGCATGGCTGGTGTTTCTTTTTACCCCCAGAGTTGAAGAGATTACAATACAATGACCCTTTGGGAACTATGACACCGTTCTGAGTGCCAGATCACACCAGTGAACGCAATCACTCCATGGCTGGATCTGGCGCATGGGGTCATTCTGCAGATGGATCCAGAGCATAACACCAGGCTGGCATGCCAGATCATGCCTGCTGACTGACCCTATGTGTTGACTCTACACTGGATCCAACTCACGAACCAACTCTGCCCACGGGTCTGGAAGATTCAGCACCAATGCAATAACCTATTATAGAGCTCACCTTTCTAGTCATTAAAGAAGAGCAAATTATCAGTCTAAGTTTCCTTGTAATTCTCAGAACGGGGATTCTCATTTACCTCTTAAAAAGCAATGTATGCCAGGGGTGTCAAATATACTGGGAAAAATAAGTTAATCTTAAGAAGTACAATTTCCCTTTGAAAGCACATAGGAGGTTAAGAGAGAAGTAAAAACCACTACAAATATTAAGGATAGGGGAGAAGGTCTTTTAAGTGCAAAATTCTCCTTTCCAGGCTGGGCTGTAAATTGCTACTAAATACTGAGCCCTCAGTCCATGCTTGGAAGCAGCGGAAGCTGTGCACCATACAAGACAAACTGTGTACTAGAAACTATGGGCACAGGATGAAAACTCAAAGCCCCAGGGGTCTGAAGCTATGTTTGGATCCTGTTGAATGTAAGCTGCAGAGGATAGGGCAATGGGCTCCCACACAGGTTAGGCAACTCAGCTTGGGTTGCCAACAGGTACAGCACCTCAAAGATGTTGCTATGTAGCAGCATCTGCAAGATCCCTAATCTCAAATGCTCCGCATATCTCGGGTGACTTCGGGAAGTCAGTTAATCTCCTGTGCCTCAATTTCCTTGTCTGTAACCCACAAATAACTGTACTTCTCCACCTTACAAAGCTATTGAGAAAACAAAGGTATTAAAGTCTGTGAGGTACTTATATGAAGTAAGCAGGAGCTGTATAAATACTGAGAGTGGACTGCTGCCCAAGGCATGCTTTAGGCCAGCAGCCCAGGCACCACCAGTTATGACAGCAGGACATCATACAAATTCTTTCCCACTTTCTTTTGGGATCCACTGAGCAAATGCCAAAGCTTCTATGAGTGAGATCTAGAAAGTGTTCAAAACCACGTTCATTTTCTATAGGGAACTGAGATCATAAGTTCACCACACATTACAATTAGCTGACCTAGCATTCATGACACCTCAGTGTATTGAGCTAGAGTGACCTAATCACAATTTGTTAGAATTGTTCAGCTCCCACTCAACAATGAAATTTAAGAAGGTTTTAGTGTGGAAGGTAGATGAGACACAAAATCTCTCATTCCAGAAAGGATGCTCACCTTAACTCCTCTTTCCCGTAATAACTCGATCCCAACAGCATCTTTAAAGTTATAAGAAATCATTTCTTTCTGATCTTCTGACACATAAACGTGACCATCTGTGAGGCATCCATCAACAACGCAAACCAGCCATTTCACCTTGTGTAGAGCCTCTTTACCAAAATAGCCATATCTAGACAAAGAAGCTATCATTTTCAGGATGGAAGACTTAAAAGATAAAATGGAACTCATTAATATCATTGTGATATTTAAAGCCAAGGAATCAGTTTTATGATTCTTGCTTGCTTTTACAAAAAGGAAGATTCCCCATCTTGTCAGCTTTTAAAATATACCCCATTCACAATCTGAATGAATTCATTTTCTCAAAACAAATAATTGTATTAATAAATGCGGCTCTGCCACAAATTTGTACATATTGTCCTTTTTATTCTTGTTTTAAAATCTTGCCCTGCCCCATCTGCTGCTCTGCCTTCTGCTACCTGCCCCATCTGCTGCTGTGCTGCCTGGCCCCTTCCCAATCTACGTGCCACAAGCTGGCCACCCTTGTCAAAAGGTACAGACAGATGTAGTGGGTACACTGAGAACAAATGGTACCCACAGAAACTATTACATTGTAACTGCTACACCTACATCAGTGCCTCTTAACCTTTTTTGAACCAGGACCAAACATCAATAGCCAGTCCTGACCCAGTGAATAGTTTAAGTAGAAAACAGCCCCCTGGACCTGCTGGTGCCCCTCAATCACAAACCACAGCCCCCCAAGCTCTGCTGGTGCCCTTCACTCCTGACTCACTGGCCCCTGCCACCAGCCTCCCAACGTGTGGGGTGGGAAGTGTGTGTATGGGTCATGGGGGGCATGTGACCCCCCATATTTGTGCACCCACAGCAGGTATGGGGCTGCACCCATTTCAGACCAACATGGGCCATTTCAGACCTCCATGGCCCAGCAGGTGGGACCCAGCACAGGAGGGCAGAGTGGGGCATCGTGACTCTTTGCTACCACTGCCACTGAGACCCCTGCACCTGCTGCACTGCCAGCAGCTCAAGG